TTCAGACAGGTGGCAGAGTGTTTCAACATGTCATATTGTCTGTTCTGTGCTCTCACTGGGGACCCAGGGAATAAACAGCTCTGATGAGAAGTGCAGTCTGGAAGGCCATGTTATCCAGGAGCAGTGAGTGACTAAAACAGCAAGCCCCATGAGCCTTGTGTGGGTTGTACTATCTTCTGGAAGAAAAGAGGTGTCACCCTCTTCAGTACTGTTCAACTTTCCAAGGTCCTGTCACATCTGGCTTTCAGCCGTGAGTGGAGGGCATTTGTGCACACAAAGACTTAATGAGAATATTCATGACCAAAGGCCTGGGGCTGCTCCTCCAGGGATGCCCATTGGCTTGGAAACAGCAAAAGGACGTAATTAAGCCTCTGTGCCCCTTGAGGGACAAGCCAGGTGCTCCCACCTGCTAGTCAGTGTAAGTTTTTCCTTGCTGTAAGGTTAGCAGATCTAAAACCAGAACCAGCACGGAGTGAAGGTTCCCTCGCCCCTGATAGAAAAGAAAGTCTGTGGTTGACTATTTTCTTCTCCACCGACCTTCTTTTTAAGATGCAGCTTGATTGCAGTAGCCCTGATGAAATTCCAGGTGGCATTTGCTTTTGCCTCAAGGACTTTGACACTGCCACTATTGATTTTCCCCTCTCTCCTGCCAACCCTCCATCCTATCTCCCTGTTTTGTGTTTGCTGTCTAGATCGTTTTAAAATACAGTAGCGGTTGGTGCGGAAGCCCTTTTGACTTTCCTTGTGATCTGCACTGCTGGCATGTTTTCTTTCTGAAAGTAACTAAATACAGTCCGGAGCTGAAGTAGGATGGCCCTGCTCTCAGCGGAAGTAGAAATTCCATGAGCCCTAAGAGCGCACAGCCTCTGTGAGCTCCACACTACCTGTCTTCAGCTGATGGCCACTGGGCTGCTAAGGCACCATCTGGGATCTGAGGGTCTGTTTGTTACAAAAGGGAAATGAACTGCCTTCTGGATCATTATAAGCCTAGTGGAAACACAGCCCCACAGGCAATGGCCTTTCTGAGCACCTGAAAAGGAGCCATTTTTTCCGGCAACTTTTGTCTTTAGCACTCATAGCAGGGCTGAGCCCACAGTGGTGTAATACATTCCACTGTAGTTTCATGTTCTTGGGCCAAGGCTTTACAGGTGTCATGGGACAGTCACCACCTGGGATTCAAATCAGAGCGCCCTCTGGGAACTTTCACCAAATGTCACATGGAGTAAGCTCACAACTAGGAGGTAACCCAACAAAGAATTCACCTGACCACAGGAAAGGCAAATGATTCTTTAGTGTGCCTGCCTTTGTGCACAGTGATCAACTGGGGGTGGGGGGAGACAGCATGAGCCCCGGGGCTAGCTGATGCACCCAGTAAATACCCCGAACTTAGGGTAGGCTGACCATGTTCTTGGCCTCAACACTTGACCCTCTGAATACTAACAACAAGGTGCTCTCCTCACTAAAATGTTGTGATCGGTTGAGCCTAGGCCCAAACGCTGCATCTGGCGGCTCTCTCCTGAGAGCTCTGTGAGATTGTCGGTCACACGCCGAACATGCCTGGCCAGCCTTTTGTGAGGGCTCATCTGAATTGTGATAACAGGAGAAGATGCTTTGGATTTTTAAATCTTCATCGATATATTCCTATTAATAACTTACATAAATTACATGTTAGAAATATTTTATATATTGGGATAAATAACATGTTCTTAAAATTAAATTCACCTGGATTTTTTATCTTGTTTTGTTTTTACTTCATTTACTGTGGCTGCTGTCGATCTTTTGTTTTCTTGCAAGGGTGGGTATTGGTTTGGGTTTTCTTGAAACAAGCTCTCAGTATTTTAGCCTTGGCTGGCCTCAGATCACAGAGATTCACCTGCCTCTGCCTCTCGGTGTGCTGGGATTGAAGGTGTGAGCCAACACACCTGATTTACACTTGCAAATTTAGCCTACCTGACCGATGTTAGAATTAAAGGTTAGCCCAGCACGTGACATTCAGACTTACAGTGCCATCTGCTGGCCCAGCCACAAAAACGAAATTGAGTAGGAGGAAAATTAAGCAGCCTAAGCTAAGTGTAGTAGTCTAGGCTAGCCCCTAACCCCATGTGTAGCCGAGGATGGCCTTGGGCTCCTGATCCTCCGGCCTCCACCTCCTCCCGAGGGCTGAGATTGCTGAGACTGTAGCTTTCCAGGGGCTGCAGAAACAGAACTGACTGCAGAAGTACCCAGACCATCAGCACCCCCCTAGCCAGGGCAAGGGGAAGCTGTTAGATGTGGCAGACCTGAGCCCCAAGCCCCGTGGAGACTGATGAGGCCCTAGAGATGGAGATCCTGGGTTGGCTCTCCTTCTGTATTAGGCCAGAACTCAATGTTTTAAATGGGTTTGCAGGGGGCAGGCTGGCCTCAAACTCAGTTTGTAGCTAAGGAATGACCTCGACTTCCGACTTTCCACGCCTTCACTTCTGGGTTTATAGACATGCGGCGCTGCCTCAGGCCTCTGTAGGTGCTGTAATTAAGAAACCGTGCATGTTGTCTTCTCATTCTTGTTCTGTTTTGTTTTTTAATGTGTGTTGTTCTTTTGCCTGTGTGTGTGACTCTCCATCCACCACATGAGTGCCCACTGCCCACAGAGGCCAGAGGAGGGTGTTGGATTCCCTGCAACTGGAGCTACAGGTGGCCTTGAACTACCATGTGTATGCTGGGAATGAAACCTGGGTCCTCTGGAAGTGCAGCCAGTGCTCTTAACTACTGGGCCATCTCTGCATCCGCTGTCATCTTCTCATCAGGAAATATTTACCTTAGCTTGTCAAAGACTTGAAAGTAGGAATCTGTCTTGCCCAAATCTTTTTTTTGTTTTTGTTTTTTGAGACAGGGTTTCTCTGTGTAGCCCTGGCTGTCCTGGAGTTTGCTCTGTAGACCAGGCTGTCCTCAAACTCATAGATATCTGCCTGCCTCTGCCTCCCGAGTGCTGGAATTAAAGGCGTGTGCCGCCACCACCTGGCCGTTGCCCAAATCTTAATGGCGTACAACAGCATTAACTTAACATCTGTCACAAGTCCTGAGTGCTAGGAACTCAGCTGGGCCATCTGAGCATTTCTGGATGAAGGCAGGTGTTGTCTAGGGCTTCAGGCCTCTGAAGGCCTCACTAGCTTCAAGAACCCACTTCTGGGCTGGCAAGGTAGTTCATCAGGAAAAGGTCCTGCACTAAGCATGCAGCGTGGGTCTGCTTGCCAGGGCCCGCCTAGAGAGAGGAGAGAGCTGAGTTCAAAATAAATAAACAGTGAGTGAGTTTCTGAAGTGGCCCATTCACATAACTGGCAGGGTGGTGGCTGTGAGCTGGAGGCACAGGTCTGCCCCACAAAAGCAGCCAGTGTAACAGCACTAAAAGGAAGGCTCAGCGTCGTTCAAGGCTCAGCCCCCAGAAGAACACATGGTGCCGTCCACCGAGGTGCGTTTATCAGAAGGAAGGAATGTGTATCTTGATAGAGGCATGACAGCATTATGCTGTGTAAGAAAATGTAAGAAGCATATTCTGAGTAGATGCCTAACATAACACTAACCTAAGGAGCACACCTTGCTTTGCCCATGAGGAAACTGAGGTTCAGAAGGGTGACACCTCCCTGAACTCTCACGTTGCATGAGAACTAAAGCCCAGCACCGAGTCCTCCAACCCTTGTCTCCTTGTATCCTGTGTATGTAACAAACACTCTCAGTGACTGTTGCATCTTTCCGTTGTCTTCAGGGTGTGCTGGGCTCGCTCTTTCAAGTCTTTACATCAGTCCTTAGAAGATCACTTTATCATTGGCCATTTTGTCAAACTCACTGTGTGTCTTGTAGAAGAGAGCTTTGATAAACAGTCTTCCTTAAAAAACTAACAGTTTCCAAAATGTTCAATGCCATTTGCTTCAAAAGAACCTCAGGAATGATAACATTATAATTTGTGTGTGATTTTTTTTGTGCAGTTTCTTTTTCTGATTTGCATATATGAATTTGTACGTGTGTGTGTGTGTGTGTGTGTGTGTGTGTGTGTGTGTGTGTGTGTGTCTCACTATGTAGTGCAGACTGGCTTCAAGCTTTCTGTGTAGCCCATGCTATGCTCAGACTCATGGAGTCCTCCTGGTGCCTACATGTTGGGATTAGAGTTCTACACCACCACTCTGGCTTACTGGTGTGTGTTTGTATTGTTTGATTGTACTTCATCTTACTTGTATTTGAAACAAGGGCATATCATCACTACTTGCTTTCAGTAATTCCTGTATGACTTAGTTATCTTAAAAAGAGGTTTGGGAACTGGAGAGATGGCTCCGCTGTTAAGAGCACTGGCTGCAGCTGGGCACAGTGGCGCACATCTGTAGTCCTCGAACTCTGGGCGGCAGAGGCAGGTGGGTCTCTGTGAGTGTGAGGTCAGCCTGGTCTACAAAGAGAGTCCAGGACAGCCAAAGCTACACAGGAAAACCCGCCTCAAAAAACAAAAATGGAAAGAGTACTGGCTGCTCTTCCACAGGACCTAGATTCAACTCCCAGCTCCTGCATGGTGACTCAGAACCACCTGTAATTCACAAGGGATCCAGCGCCATCTTCTGGCCTCTGTGGGCACTGCACACACCTGCTGCAGAGATGCGTGCAAACAAAACACCCATACACAGAACATTTAAAAGAAAATGGGAAAACAAACGAGGAAGTGCTGCCTCACCGGGGCCGGGCAGGTGGCTCCGTGGACGAGAGCGCGTACTGCTCTTGAAAAGGACCCAAGTTCGGTGTCCAGTACCTCATTACATCTCACACTGTCTGTAATTCCAGCTCCACGGCCTCTTACAGCCTCTTGTGGCCTGTCTTGTGGTCACCTGCACTCGAGTGCACATATCCGCGTGCAGGCGCGCGCACACACACAAATAAGTAAAAATAAAATAATTTTTTAAAGTGGCTTTGCAGTTTTGTGACGTTTCACTTGCCAAAATTTCACTCCAGCTGCTATAATCCCGGCCTGCTGTTCTTGGTTTCAGGTTAAACTTCCTTTTCCTGTAGATCAGATCACGGACCTTCCCAGGAATGACTTCCAGATGATGATTAAAATGCACAAGCTAACCTCAGAGCAGTTGGAGTTTATTCACGACATCCGGAGGCGGAGTAAGAACCGCATTGCCGCTCAGCGCTGTCGCAAGAGGAAACTGGACTGCATTCAGAATTTAGAATGTGAAATAAGAAAGCTGGTGAGTTGATGAACAGGTGGAGGTGGCCACCACTGACAAAGTTACTTCAGTTACAGCTGGAGAAGTAGAGGCGCAAGCCACCCTTCAGGGGAACTTGGGCTTATTCTCAACAGTCATCATAGATCCGCGTCTGAGGTGGACGAGGATGTACAGGAGGCCTCCCTCCGGTCTCGTGTGGAGTCATCGCCTTTGTGTTTTCCAATTGTATGTCATAACAGAGGATGTCTACTGCGTAAACAAACCAAGTATTATTCTAAACTAGCTCTCCACTCTGAAATGCCTGGCTTTAATAACCAGCCTTCTGGTCCGTGTAATTGTATAATTGTATGATTCTGGTCGAACAGTAAAAAAAAAAAAAAAAAAAAAAAAAAAAAAAAAAAAAAAAATAAAAAAAAAAAAAAAAAAAAAAAAAAAAAAAAAAAAAAAAAAAAAAAGTCTAAGCTACATACCAGGCAAATATTTAAAACACTTTACTCATTTATTTGGCTTATCCATCCCAACCACAGTCTACCATGAAGGGAAGTCAGGACAGGAACTAGAGGCACAAACTGATGCCAAGGTCATGGAGGAACAGTGCATGCTGGCTTGTTCTCCATGGCTTGCCAGCCTTCTTTCTTGTATACCCCAGGACCACCAGCCCAGGGATGGCACCACACACAGTGGGCTGGGCCCTCTCCTATCAATCATTAATCAATAAAATGCCCCCACAGACTTGCTTACAGTTCCATGTTGTTAACCAAGGCACCACCATTATATTCTTTCATGTCTGAGAGACGTCAAAACCATGTCTCGTGTGGTACCTTCTTCTCTTGCCCTATGGAGTGTACAGGAACACTTTTACGTTAAGTAGGCAGACAGTGGATAGTGCCTAAACCAAGGGGTTGTGCCAAAAGGGCCTGAGATATCTTTCCTAGGACACTCTGGTCCTCACTTTTTGGCTCCAGGTTCAGTGGAGAGGGGGCCAGGTTTGGACCCGCTTGCTGGTGTCTCGGGGGTGGCTTGAGTGGCAGAGGCAGGCAGCCCGGTCTGCCGCTGCAGAGTCCCCGTAGGCCCTGTACTTAATCCCCACACCCACGATGTCTTCCGCATGCTCACCACCCTAATTCGCAGATGCACATGATGTATTTCTCTCAAGCTGCACTTGTGCATCTGTTTATTTTTCATTTTTAAAGCATGTTTTCTAGTTAAACTTATAAATATTTTAGCAGGTGTCCTTTCCCCATGTAAATCTCTCTGTCACACACATACCCACGCGGCCTGCCAGACTGCATTCTCATTAGACCACGCAGAGCTCCTGTGTCAGGGACTGCTTCTCTCTCCCTCCTCTTCAGTCTTCCTCCCACCCCTGCCTCACTTGCCTACCACTCTTTAGACACCCAGGTTTTTTATCATGTGAGCCGCATGAACCTTCCCCACACCTCCTCCCACAAATACTGACGGCAAAACCTTAATTAGTCTCCTCTCTGAGACTAAACTCATCTCTCGGTGGGTGACAAATTCAAGAAATACAGGAGCATGTGTGGGATTTTTCTTAATGGTAAAAACATCTTGGAACCTTGAGCTAGCGTGTTAACGAATAAGCTCCACTTTTCTGTCCTAAGCCCCTCCATCCAGTGTCCAGGGATGATGGTCCCTGCTCAGGATCCAGGATGTGGTTCCCAGGATTCTGCAGAGGCTGTGCTTTAAAGGCTGGAGAACCTAACTGTACCGACTTGCTGATAAGCAGTCTTGATTGTTTGCTTGGTTTTTTGGGGGGAATAGACTTTCTTCTTCATAGTCGTTTTAGAATCCTAGCAAAACTCAATGGAGTTTCTAGAGTTCCCAAATGTCCCTGCCTCTGGACGCTCCTGACAAGAGCAGTACATTTATTAGGACTGACAAGCCTGTGTTGACATCCTTTTCCTCCAGCACCCCTGCTCTACTTTAGAGTCCACACTCCTCCTCCTGCGCTAGATAGATGTCCATAGGGGGCTGTTAGTGCTGTCGCATACACGTAGACTGGCCTAGATCTACTGTATTGCATTCAGCCCTCTCTCCCTCCCGAAACCCCTGGCAGCTGCTGATGCTTTTACTGATTTTTTTTTTTGTCTTTTTAAAAGTACCAGTTAATTGACTTTCACCCCTCAAACATAGTGCTTTAATCCCAGCACTCAGGAGGCAGAGGTGGACGGATCTCTGAGTTCAAGGCTAGCCTGGTGTACAGAATGAGTTCCAGGACAGCCAGGCTACACAGAGAAACCCCATCTCAAAAAAAAGGAAAAAAAAATAGTAAACTGATACATTAGGGGAAGATTTTTTATCTATAAGGTTTGAAAGAAAAAAGTTTCTAGTAAGTTCCTTACAAACCCCAAACTCTAGGAAAGCAGAATGTCACGTGACTCTACAGCTTTCTGTTGGTGGTTACTCGGCTGGTTGTTTCCTGGGCCTCCGAGGGAGGGACACCACACTGGGAGAGGTGAGAATGTCAGGCACAAGTGTAAGGCAGCTGCTCAGCAGAAGTGCATGTGTGTCAGCCTCCCCGGACAAGGTGTCTTTTATCTTCCTAGATTCCGTCCTAGTCTTTCCGGAGTTAGGTTGTAATGTGGGATCTCAAAACCAAGGTTAGAGAACCCTCAGACACGAGGCTTAGTGTCATCTTGATGAATGTGTCTCTCTCCCCCGCCCCACAGGTGTGCGAGAAGGAAAAGCTGTTGTCCGAGAGGAATCAGCTGAAAGCGTGCATGGGGGAGCTCCTGGACAACTTCTCCTGCCTCTCGCAGGAGGTCTGCCGAGACATCCAGAGCCCGGAGCAGATCCAGGCCCTGCACCGGTACTGCCCTGTCCTCATACCCATGGATCTTCCCGGAGCCGGTGTGAACCCCCCTCCTCTGGGGGTTGAGCAGAGCCTTGCACCCTCCCAGTGTGCAGGAGGAGGAAATGTCCCTTGCTGCCTGGAGCCAGGGGCCACTCCCCCTGGGCTTCCCTGGGTGCCCAGCAACACCTCTGAGAATTGCACCTCTGGGAGGAGGTTGGAAGGTACTGATCCTGGGACCTTCTTGGAAAGAGGCCCTCCTCTCGAAGCCAGGAGCCAGTCAGTGACGGTGGACTTCTGCCAGGAAATGACTGAGAAGTGTACAACAGACGAACAGCCCAGGAAAGATTATGCCTAGCCAGTATGATGGGCTCTGCCCCCAGGCCCTCACACCTCTCCCATCTGGGTCCTCCAGCCAGCGGCTCTGTTCATCTGAGTCGTGAAGAACCAAGAGCGACTTTGGTGCACACTACAGCAGTCTTAGCAGCAATACTGTTCCGAAGTATTTCCTCCTCTCTGCAAGCAGGAGTGCTGGTTACCTTCACAATGGTGCTACCCCTTGCCCTGGCAAGGAAGACAGCAGTGTGACACTGTCTGTCTGCGGGTTAATTGCAAACTTCACAGGGATAGACTACACCTCTAGGACCCAACCACGGATTTTTTTTCTCAGTGGCCCATGTCACAAACCCTATCTCAGGAATTTCTTCTGAATGTTCAATTTTTTTCATTGAAGACAGCTTCTATACACATCAAAGTTTTATAGCTATACTGTACATATTATATATAATATATATGAAATATATATCCATATGCAAACGTCCTGCATGCCTCAATTTTCTCATCCTAAAACTGGAAACTTCGTTTATCATTTACAGACAGGTTCCAACATTCCTCTTTTTGTCTCTGATGCCAGAACTGGTTTTGTAGCTGTCAACATGGTCATTTTTCTTGCTTCACAGTTCAGTTTCAACCTGTACTTATTTACAGACAGAATTCAGTGTTGGAAGCATTTTCTCAAGGGTCAATCCTGTCAGACCTTTTTGCTTTTGTTGGCTTGGTTTCGCCAGCTCCAATGTGTCATGGTCTGTTCTTTTCTCCTGTGTCTTTGCAGACACTGCACAGCAACGGTCGACTCTGCCACTTGCACTGAGTTTTGAGTCAAACCTATTTTCTTAAATGAAGTTGTAACTTCAGTATAACTCAAGTATATTGTATATTCTTTGCTTTTAGTTTAAAAGGAAGACATTTTAGCTAATTAAAAAGCACTCAGGTGATAATTATGTAGGAAAAAAAAACAATCTTGCCAAATAATGAACCCATCCTAGGATGTGTACACAGTAATCTGCTTGAATATTTTTGTAGCTCCCTCCCTCCCCACCTTTCCCTAAATTGAGGCGCAGGTAATCCAGAGCTGACACTGGATGTCCGATTCCTCCGTGGGGAAAGGGTTCGATGGCCGCAGGACGTCGTGTCACAAGAGCCTGCGGTGGTGGGGTAGAACTCCATGGCCACTGGTGGAGAGACCAAGGGAGAACCGTTTCCTTACCCAGGGAGGGGTCCCGTTGATGTCAGCGTTTCATTCTGGCCTCCCGCTTACACTGCTCAGAAATGTCACGCGGTAGCACCTGCTCCTTGGAAGGGCACAGCTAACCAGCCACCCAGCTTTCAGCCCAGGCCCAGCCTCCAGGACATCTTAAGACCTAAGGGGACTTGAACCACAAGCCTCACCTGTAGGTGGCAGCCCCTGGATTAATTGAACTCACTGAGAGTAGGGAAGGACATGGCAGAATGGAGCCTGAGGTCCACATGGGCAGAGGCTAATGCATTTTTTTTTCCTTTTCATTCTTCAGATGTTCTCTGTACTCTGAGGCTCGTTCCCCCTCCCGCAACCCAGACTCTTGTCTGAAAGCTGCTTCATTCAAGGCATTGGACAGCTAGCCCTAGGGGCCCTCTGCCCTCCCCCCCAAGTCCTCCATCCTACCCACCCCCCACCCCCACACTCACCCTTCCCTTCCCCAGGTAATAATCTGCTTCCCTTACTGAAAACTAGTCGGTTTGCAAATCTGGAGATGGTCCCCTGGTCCCAAGCCGTGTTTACAGGGAGGTGTGCCCCAGGGGGGAGTCAGTTACCTCCCAAGCGGTCTCCACCTCCTGCTCAGCAGCCGGAAACCACTCCAGCTGTGCCAGGTTGTCCGCGACAGTCTGCTGTTGGGAGAGGGAGAGGAGAATACACGATGGTTGACTTTGTTTCTTCTTCATCTGTGCCATTGCTTTGGACAGTAGTAAAGCTGCATGTAAAAGGGGAAATTAGTGTATGACTAGTAGGCAAAGGTGAGACCCTAGTAACATGTTCTAGTATTAACTTCGTCCTGTACCTGTAGTAGTGCTAACTGTTTAAGTACGTACGAATGCCACAAGTTGTTGGTCCATGCCGTAGAGTGAAGGGGGAAATTACTTCTTTTAAAATAGGTCCATTTTTAGAACATGCCTCTGGTTTTGAGTGTGTGTGCACGCGAGCGTGTGCACGTACAGATTTTGATAAAGCTGTGTTGGAGCTGCCATCTTTGTTACACAGTTGGTGTTTCTTGGTCTCCCCTAAGGGTTCCGTGTGTCACCAGGAAGCTCATCCTCATGAACTGATGTAAAGCTAGCATTCAGCTCCATGTGAATCTCGTGATGCTCACAGCTGCCTAATATGCTGTAGGAGTCGGCAGACAGTATTTTTTTAACCCTTTTATTGCCTTTTTAAGTGACCTCTTCTAAAGAAACAGAAAGGCTTGTTTTCTGTTCAGGCCATGACCACTGCAGAGCAGCCTCTGGGCCTGTTTCATGCTGTCCCGGCTTTGTTTAGCTGTAGCCTTGCCACATTCCACAGTTTACCCCCACCCCGAGTTTCTGTTGCCAGTAGGTCATTTTGAGAGTTGGGGGGTCTGGGAGTCAGGTCTCCTCATTTCCCTCCACCCTAACTCAGCTCATTTTTCTCCCTCATTTTCTTTTCCTCTTCTTCCACACAGTCTCTGCCATGGGAACTAGTATTTTTAGATTACTCTAAAAACTTCTACTTCTTTGGGTCCCCCCACCACTACCTTTGGTATTTTTAACGAGTAATTTCATTCAGTATCCACCAGGAACAACAACTGGCTTTGTATAATTACTTACGGGACATGTCTGTGTCTTTTACTGTTCCAAACCATTACTTTTTAAAATTGTTTCTGAGTTGATTCAAAGGGAGGGTTCACTGGGGACCAGAATCTAAATTCTTCAAGTAGAATTCAGAAATCCCCAATCTGCCCTTCCCTTGGATCCCTCAGTCAACCTCATTCCCTCTACAGAAAAGAGAGGGAAGAGACCAGAAGAGAGCATTTGCAGTTTAAGGGGACATTTAGTTGCGTGTTTGAAGGTCTTTTCTTTCAAAGATAAAGGACACTCCAATCATAGGCTTTTAGGAGAGCCACAGCCCGGTCGGGTCTCCCAAAGGCTGGGGTGTGAATGGGTCATGGTCCAGGGCTAGTACAGGTGACTGTAAGATTCATAACATCCTACCCAAACTCAGCTCTTCCCTGGGAGCAGCCTTTGTCTCTGAACAGCCTCCTTCAGCTTGCCCAGGTTAAAGGCAGGAGTGTGCTCCGAGGTGTGTGTTTGTTTCTCTGCATTATCTGGGGGTGCCTTGAATCAAGTCGAGCTTCCTGACTTACTGATTCTGGAACAAAGCAGTTGTAAACACTTTCTCTAAAGCTGGCAAGGTGGCTAGGCCATCAACTTCTCTCCTGGTTCCCCAACTCAGGCGTCTGGGTGGTGCTGCAGTGGAAATCGTTATTTTTATGTCATCCAGGTAGTTTATTTAGGCTTTCTCAAGGTGTGCTGCTTTTACCGTGCACTATAATTTTGCATGTGGTCCGTGCACTGCTTTTCGAAGGAAGTTAAGAGCCGCTAGGAGCTAGTGTGCTGACTGCCTCTCCTTAGAGGGCTCCAGAGCAACCCAGGACCTGTGGGGAGGACTGGCTAAAGCCTACACTTCTCTCTAGCTTCAGTACTTTATGATTACCACTGAAGAAGAAAAAGACAAAGCAGACAAAGGTTTGAAAGTATAAACCTTTTCAGAAATCGCCAAGTCTTGCCCCAGGGGCAGCTCAGCATCCAGTGGACACACAGTCCTTCAAAATGAGTTGGTCTGTGAAGCTGCTTAGAGTCTATTTGATTGCAGATTCCTACGCGCTGTGACCCATTTAAACTAAGCTGTTTACCGATGGCTTCAAACTGCTCCACGACTGCTTACAATATAGAGGGACTCCCAGATCTAAAACAGAGCAAAAACCAAGGTTTATTCACAGATCTCTCTCCAGCTCTCCTCCCCACGCCTCCACCTCTCTCTCTCTCTCTCTCTCTCTCTCTCTCTCTCACACACACACACACACACACACACACACACACACTCACACACACCAGACTAAAGAAAAGGATTATTTTAGAAGAATAAAGCTCTTTGTTGTATCATTAGTATTTACTTGAGGATTTTGTTGCAGATTCCATTTCTGGCAAGTCGGTCCACAATGCCTTGTGGGGTTGGTATTCATAAAGGAAGTCTGTGCATGGAGATATTTTGTGTTCAAAATGTATAATACTGCCCGAGCCATCTCACGACCCAAGTGTCAAAGACTGATGCTGTAGCATAGGATATATTTGTGCATAAATAGTGTGTGCAAATAGTACTTGTACATTGAAGAGACTTGTCGTAGCAGATCAAAGGTCAATTATTCAACTGATGGTGCAAAAACAGTACTTGCAAAGTAATTGTATAGTATTTTCCTACACTCCACCCTGGGAGATCATATTTATAACAAGTGAATGATTAGTGCATTTGAATTGTAATATGAAATGATGCTGCCATTTTGTGAAGAATATCCACTGGGTTGCAGAGGCCAACTTTTATAGCTTTGGTTTTATGTTGTGGCATGGTGTATGCTTTTCTCTATTAAGCAATGGATAAACTCTTGGCTTTCATTCTCATTCCAGTTTATTGACCTCAGATGAAACAATGGCTATTCATGGAAGTGTGTCAAGACCCCTCGTTTCAGGTAGACTCACACTCAGTGCCAAACGCTCCCATGGGAATAATCAAACGTTTATCAGGAGAGAGTGAAGGGACTTGGACAAAAATGGGTTTTCCTATTAATGGGTGCTAAATCTTCTACCAAACACATCTCTGGGGGCAAAGAGTTGGCCTCCGCTTGGGTCCTAACAGTGAATATTTTGTCTGTGGCAACGCTGGGATGCCCATTTACACTCTGACACAGAGCCTGGCACTTGTAATGAATTATCAGGAAGATTACAGATGCATTTGGGAGCTTCGGGTACTCGTTAGACACAGTGAGCCATTCAAGGCAAGAGGGCCTGTGAGAATTTGTTCCAGAACCAGTCTGATGCGCGTGCACCTCTGAATTATGCCTTACAGACTCCAGAGGCCATATGCAAAACAGGGTCTTCTCAGTGTATGCAAGGGGCTCAGCCCCTCCTCTCCTCCTCCCCAGCTCGAACAATATGGACAGTTTTCACACATATCTACCTGTAGAACCCTCCGTACCTCTCATAACTGGTCAACGACTGTAACAGGTTACATCAGGTGTTTTTCTACATACTTTTTACACAGATTCTATGCGATTAATGTAACTTAATTCAACGCATCATTTTATTGTACAAGTTCTTACGCTTGGCCTTATTTTTTCCTAAGTGATTGTGGTTTTGTGGTTTTTCTTGTGGTTTTCTTGTAAAGATATTGAGATGGCTGTTGATGCTTATTCTCTGTAACTAAGAATTTTTACCTTTTTGGGAAAAAGCATTGCTATGGATTAATGAATTGAGACTTCATTTACTTGTTGTAAATACACTATTGTGCAAAAAAAAAAATCACTCAATTGAATTGCTAGTGTTAACTGAATTTGTCTAGACGCCATTTCTGTTGATGAAATAAAGACATATCATCCTGCATTGTAAAAGCCTCTGATGCCCGTGTTACAGTCTCAAGAAAGCTTTTCTCCACAAAAGGCCATTTCGCGTCCTCTAGTTTGTAGCTTTCCCTGCTCCCTGGTTAATCTGATTAGATATCTTAAGAATTTGATAAGGCTGCTTTTTAATCTAAGTTGTTTTAAAAATCCCCATCCCAGGTAAGATTAGATATCAAACATTAGAACCACTTCCAGTTTCGATATTCCACTGTAGCTGTGCAAACGTTGCCATGGGTAAAGAGCATTGGTTTTACAACTGTACATCAATCTACAATGACATCAAAAAGGATTGACTAAAAACATAAAAAAAGTCAGGTATGGTGGCAGGTACCTCGGTGCAGTTACTCCAGAGGCTGAGGCAGGCTCACCTGAGCATCCACAGTTAAGTGAAAGCAAGTGAGAATAGTGCACAAAACAAATCCCATGTGTGAGGGGTTACCAAAGGCAGCAGTTGAGTATTGTGGTCAGGGAATAAGCAGACACTACAAATGAATATCCCGTGGCCAGTGTCTTAAGTCTTTAATGGAAAGGGAAATGGACAGACTGCATTGTGGGCTGCATACTGAGCTCGTGCTGCAAGGAGAGATACCTCCACAAGAGGGCAGGAGCGATCTGCCGTGACCAGCGCATGTACCGGACACCTACCCAATCCTAGTTCAGCAAGTAATGTCCCATCTGCCAGCTGGGACAACTGAAATTCAAAGCTCCAGAATTCTCCCTCAGAGAATATAGTAGGTCCTTAGTGAATTAAGGAGAGCTTCTTTATGGTCTGTAGACTATACTGAATGGCCATGGTCAGATCATGTTAAATGCCTAAAGGTAAGAAATAGTTCAGTTCTTTCTGGGGAAAAGTTGGCTATGGAGAGTTGGCAGTTACTTGCTTCTGCAAAATAAACCTTGACAACTTTTCCATCCTGCAGAAATACCCAGGCTCTGTCATGCCCCTGGCATGTAGCTACTGTTCTTCTCTGCCTCAAGTGTGCTTTTCACGTGTGAGTCCTACCTGATTCTACACTCTAGACGTAATGAAGATGTCCTCTTTCTACATCAGGTCCTGCCAGCAATTCTTATTGCATTTAGGAATGAGGTTCTTTGAAACCCCTTTAGGATCTCTGACCCAAGACCCTACCCTTCAGAAAGAATAAATTAAAAAGGTTTCATTTGATCTTTTTTGTGGGGAGGGCAAGTTGTTGAGATGGGTTTCTTTGTGTAGCTGTCCTGGACTCACTTTGTAGACCTGGATGGCCTCGAACTCACAGAGATCCACCTGCCTCCACTTCCCTGAGTCCTTCGCCTTCCTGTTGTGAATAAGCATGGTACAATCAAGGCCTACAGAGATGAAGTAAGCCACACATTTCTATAAGCAAGTATCCTTCCCTTCGATTTCCTCAATGAGCCTCGTACCTACAGTCCTCACGCACCTCACACTCCTGCAGATCCTGATACAATGTTGGAGGTACCTGCTGGTTGAGGTTGCAGTTCTTGCCTGGACTGGGTAGCCATTTTGAGCTTGGCACTAAAGGCAGAACTCCCTCCCCTCAGTGGGGTCCCCGGCTCTCTGCCTGACTTCATCTGGAGAATGTCTCTAGATGCAGACTCCCCTAACCACACTTAATATATGGCTTCTGACACAGCTCCCTGCTAGCTCTTCTCTCCCTGTGCCCATATGTTAATTAAGCACTGACATTCTACTCTTACGATAGGAGCATGGTGTATAATGCAAATCAAGCACCCTGGAATATCTAGTTCCAACCAATTATGTACTTGTATTCTTGGAGCACCCCCACCCACTCCCCTAGGGGTATACAGCCATCAGCTGTTCCTGGGGTGTGCCATCCTGCATGGTTCTCGAGGCCATTCCAGCAAGTTTCTCATCTCCTGCCCCTCCTGGCTTCCTGGGCTGCTGGTAGGCAGCCCCCAGGCAGGAGGAGAACAACAATACAAAATACCATGAACCAACATGGTCAGCCAGGAATGTGCTTTACTTGTTCTCCTTGGCTCAGTTGTACTGTTACCACCCAAAGGCAAGGGCCTCCCCAAGGAGCAGCGGCCACACCTTCTGACGGCAGTGCTGGCAGTCACTGAAGGACTGTATTCCCCAATGGGCCCTTTTCTTTAATTTTTAATCAGGCCGTAAAGTGAAAACCCTCCAAAGGAAGTCTCTCAGGAAGCCAGCTAACCAGACAGGACAATGACAAAGTCATATGGAACGGGCAATGGTGGGTAAGGGGTTGTTGCCTTTACGGTTTTACTGTTTTGATCAAACACCATGACCAAAGAAACCTGGGAAAGAGAGGGTTTATTTTGCTTACACTTCCACATCACACTTTATCATTGCAGGAACTCAAGGCAGGAATCTGGAGGCAGGAGCTGACACAGAGGCGGTAAGGAGTGCTGTTTCCTGGCTTGCTCAGCATGACTTGCTTAGTGAGCATCCTTACAGCACCCAGGGCCACCAGCTCAGGGGAGGCACAGCCCGCAGTAAGCTGGGCCCTCCCACATCAATCATCAGTGAAGAGACTATGCCACAGGCCTGCCCACAGGCCAGTCTGGTAGAGGCATTTTCTCAATTGAGGTTTCCTCTTTCAATTTGACTCTAGCTTGTATTGAATTGACATGAAACTAGCATATTAATTCAACCAACACTGCAACTGCATCCAGTATTAAGAGTATATAAACCTTATTCTTAAAGTGTTCACAAGCTGGTTGAGCAAGGATGTATATAAACAAAGCATTTTTTTCAGGGCTTCTAATTCTCACCGATGACAGAACAAGGCTTTCTGGGGGATCTCAGCCCTTAGACAGCATAGTCTGGGTTTGGACTCCAGTTAACATTTCTCCTTGGGGGACCTTTAGTTGCAGAGTAAATTACTTAATCTTTTGAACCCTTTTGTCTGATCTATAAAATGGAGGTGAACCATGACTTTACACAGTTGTATGAGGAATAGGGAATGTGCCTTGAGGACCTGGAATGGATATGTACTTTAAAAGGTTGGGCTGGAGAGATGGCTCGATGGTTAAAAGCACTGGATGCTCTTCCGAAGAACTCAGGCACTATTCCCAGCACCCACATGGCGACTCACAGCCATCTGTAACTACAGTCCGGAGAGATCCAACATCTGCTTCGGACCTCCCGCGGCACTGCAGGCCTGTGGTACACCGGCATGCAGACAGGGCAAACACTCATCCACTCAAGTCAAAAATGATTAAAAGGTTGGGCTTGGCCTTTTCATCTTCCTGGCCTTCGCTCTCCTATAAACTCACTGTCTCTAGAAGACTAGACCTTGAGCCAACGAAGATGGCTCTGTTGCAAGGACACCTGCCACCAATCATGACCCCCTGAGTGTGATAGCTGGGACTCACGTGGTGGAAGGAGAAAAGCAGCTTCGTTCTGCAGCTTGTCCTCCGACCTCCACATAGACTGTGGCATGCACGCACACATGACTACGATAGTTGAAAAGAAGACTGGCTCTAGGCTGTGCCTCATTTCTACCCTGCAGGACAGAATAGAGGACTAGAAGCACAGAATAACTGTGGCCAGTGAAGTGCTTCCCTTTGCAACCTTTCAGAGGCTTCCCAGCCTCCGTCTGAATACTTACAGTGGAAAGTCTATGTCTGATGGTCAGAAAATGTTTCTGGGACTGCAGTGTAGCAGACACTTGCCTGCCATGCACAAATCTTTGAATTCAATTTCTGACACAGAAAAAAAAGAGAGAGGGGGGAGTGTCCTAGTTCACTTTATATTGCTTATGATAAAACACTGGTCAAAAGCAACTTGGCAAGGAAAGGGTTTTTCATCTTAGACTTCTAGGTAACAGTGCATTGTTGAGGAGAAGCAAGGCAGGGCTCACGGCAGGAAGGGAAGCAGAAACCATGGAAGAATGTTATTCACTGGCCCAATTCTTCTGACCTGCTCAGTGATCTTCCTTATACAAGCCTGGACCACCTGCCCAGGGGTGGCACTACCCACAGTGACCTGGGCCTGCTGGCATCAATCAGTAATCAAGACAATGACCCACAGACATTCCACATGCCACAGTCTGATGCAGGCAATCCCTTTGTTGAGGTTCCCTCTTCCCACCTGATTCTAGTTTGTGTCAAGTTTATAAAAACTAACCAGATCAGGGAGGGAAGAAGCAAGTTGACCTTTTGGGTGGACGTTGCATCCCGCATGCACCTCTTTTACAAAGAATAAAGACTATCGTGAGTCACAGGGACACGCTTGTAATCCCAGCTTCTTGGGAAACTGAAGTAGGATTAGCAATCTGAAGCTGGCCTGCATGAGGAGTGAGGAGACTTGGAGGTAGGTGCCCTTACCTGCTGAGATCCTGTTTCAAAAACAAAGCAGTTCTTAACGGCTGAAGCAAATAAAAGTGCATTCAGTGCAAGAGTGGGGACCAGAGTTAAAATCCCAACACCGGTATAACAAAACAAGTGTGGTCCCCATGCAAGCCTGTGACCTCAACACTGAGTGGGGCCAGAGACAGGAGGATTATGGAGTGAAACTTTAATTGCCTTATAACTTATATTTTCAAGTTTTAGGCCCATGTTAATTAAAGCCTCTTGGTGCTTCTCCAGAGAGACAAGGAATGTAAAAGTTCCTGACATTAGCCATCTGTGAAGGCAGAGATAAAGAAGAGAACAAGCAGAGATCTCTACTAAATGGAGAGAAAATCACTGGCTGGCGCCTGTGAGATGAGCTTTGTTTGGAAACTGGGCCAAATGGCCCCAATCCTTCTCCTGACCTTTGATCCAAAGCCTGTAACCCCCACTCCTCAGAACAGACACGGGATGAGTTAATCATTCTCCCACCTTTAACTGTGGCTATATTTCATATGGCAGGAAATTCCAAACTGACTTGAAGATCAGATATTTACAACAGGGCTGACCAGACCTAAGGGTGCCCAGAACCAACCAATTATTTTAAAAGTTAAATACCTCATCCAATCATGAATTGCCAAGAAGGCAACCCCTAGAATTCCCCGCACCTTGTCTTTTAAAAACCTAAGGTCTTTGTCTCCCGGTGCCACTCCTTGCTGACCAGCAGGGGTGACCCCATTGCGCAATGGTCAAGATAAACCTCTTGCGATTTTGCATCGATGGATGATTAGTTTCCTGAGTTCTCTTCATACCTTCTTATATTTAGGCTCTTGCTGGGCCTAACAGGAGGATTGCTGGCTGCCAACCTACCTGAAAAAACACAAGTTCTGACTTCAGTCAAAGCCCCTGCCCTGAAGGAATCAGGTAGTGAATGATAAAAGAGAATGCCTGATGCCCTTACTCTACCCTGTGCACATATTTCCATGTGCACATGCATACAGCCACCTACCCACCCCACAAACAATTTAAACAGATTATCCAATCATCAAATGGGCAGAGAAGTACAAATAAATGACCAATAGATTTTTTTAAATGTTCAACATCCTTAGCCATCAAGAAAATGCCAGAAAAACAGACAAGTTATGATCAGGATGGGTGTGAGGAGAGTTCTTAAATACCTGAATAGTGAGAATTTAAATGAGTCAACCCACTATGGAAATCAGTATGGATGTGCCTCAGAAAAAATGAAAATAAAAACCACTATATGATCCACTTGTACCGTTCCTGGGTCCTATGCCCAGAGGACCCAAGTAAGCACCACAGTGATACTTGCACACTCATATTTATTCCTGAATACTTTCCACAGGACCCAAGAGAAGAATTGATACCAAAATGTGGTGTATGTGCACAATTAAATTTTATTCTGTCATAAGGAATAAAATTATATTATTAACAGAAAAATGAATAGAACTGGAGATTATAGTGTTGAACAAAATAAGCCAGACTCAGAAAGATAAATACCATGTTTTGGCTCACTCTCAGAATCTAGCTTTAAGTACACACACACACACACACACACACAAATGACACAAAAATAAAGGAGGACCATCTGCATGGAAGACTGGTGGGAGGCAGGGGGGCAAACAAGAAAGGGTGATAGGCAAACAGAAGAGGGTAACTGTTGATAGCTAAGCACATAATATTTATGTGGAATTTTTATATGAAAATGTCATGTGAAAACTATTATTTTGTACATTCACAAAATGATCATTAAAAATCATAAGCTAAGTAATATTCTACCCAAACTAATATTACCAGTTACTGTAACTACAGGACCGAAGCAAATAAAGGTGTAATGTGGGGACGAGTTGGCTGGGAAGTAGATGCTGAAAGTATTTTCATGATCACGAATCTCAAGCCTGATGTCATGACAGGGACCTGTGGTATTTCCACGTGCCTGGGAACCTGAGGCAGATAGACCATTTGAGACCAAGAGTTGAATACTAGCCTGGGCGACATACTGAAATCATGTTGAAAGGGAGAAACAAAGGGAAGGATAGAGGAGAAGGAAGAAGGAAGGAAGGAGGGAAGGAAGGAAGGAAGGAAGGAAAAACAAACAAAGAATGGGGTGTTATAGAAGTTTTCGGTTGCTATGATAGAACACTGATCAAAAGCAGCTTGTGGAGGAAGGGGTTTCCTTTAGTTTACACAGATTAAGCCATACCCAGCCCAGGCCACCAGCACAAAAGCTGCACTGCCCACATTGGGCTTGGCCCTCCCATATCATTCATTAACCAAGAAAATGCCCCCAAGGATTCGCCCACAGGACAATCTGTTGGAGGCCATTTCTCAACTGAAATCCTCTCTCCTCTGGTGTGTCTAAATTTGTGTCGAACTGACAAAAACTAACAAGCTCTGAGCATGGTGGTACATGCATTTAGTCCCAGCACTTGGGAAATTGAGGAGTGAGTTCAAGACCAGCCTGGGCTACCTACTGAGTTCCAGGCCAGCCAGGGCTACATAGTGAATGAGATCCTATCTTAAAAACAAACAGGGCTGGAGAGATGGCTCAGCAGTTAAGAGCACTGGCTGCTCTTCCAGAGGATCCAGGTTCAATTCCTAGCACCCACATGGCAATTCAAAACTATAAATCACACCCTTATACAGACATACATGCAGGCAAAACACCAATGCATAGTAAATAAAAATAAGCTATTAAAAAAGAAACCCTAACAAGCAAGGAAAGAGATGGGGAAATACTGAGTATAGTAAGACACTGAAGGAAGAGATAAAACGAAGGAAGAGAGGGAGGGAGAGAGGAAGAGAGGTAGGGAGAGAAGGGGAGAGAGGGGGAGGGAGGAAAGGAGAGATAAGTCATATGCAAGGCAGGTACAGGGTAAGTGGGACTTTGTGTGAGCATGTAGCACACGAACACGTGAAAATTAAATCTCACAGGATGTCTGAGTAAGGTTTCTATTGCTGCGATGACAAACAGGCAGCTTGGGGAGGAAAGGGTTTATTTGGCTTACACTTCCACATCACTATTCACCAGAAAGGAAGTCAGGACAGGAACTCAAACAGGGCAGGGACCCGGAGGCAAGAGCTGGGGCAGAGGCCGTGGAGGATGCCGCTTACTGGCTTGCTCCCATGGCTTGCTCAACCTGCTTATACAACCTAGGACCCCCAGCTCAGGGCGGGGCCCTCCCACATCAATCACAGATTAGGAAAATGCCCTACAAGCTTGCCTACAGCCTGATCGTATGGAGGCATTTTCCTAATTGAGGTTCCCTATGACGTTAGCTTGTAACAAGTCAACAAAAAACTATCCAGCACACAGGACGTAGATGATAACTGAGTTTTATGACGTTGAAAGCAAATTGAATCTTCTTATGACTTGAAGCCTTTATTACAGACTATGTAGCCAGTGTTTCATGGCAGCCTGGTCATGTGATAGAAGATGACCCACCATGCCTCTCTGCACTGCGGGGGTGACTGCCTTTTGAAGCTCCTCTCCTGGATCACTCATGACCACGGGGAGGGTGAAAACAGGGAAGTGTCTCTTGGTAGCCTGGAAATAATTTTTGGGCCACAGTCAACATTTATCATCACTGACAACAAATGACATCAGCAAGAATATAACAGATCATGGATGTATTTTCCTTTGTTTAAGCCATTGCTTAATTTCTATAGCATTTACAAATTAAAACTTTATTTGCTTCATGCTCACAAAGTGAACGGATGAGAGAAATCACCTGAGAAGTTTCTTGCTGGCCTCTCCCTTACAGAGATGCAGTGTGTCCAAGCACAGGTTGAGTTGGGAGCCTCCGGCTTGCTCTGGATCCACGTTAGAGTGCCCCTGTTGGTCGCTGCCAATCTGGGTGCTCTCACTGAGCTGCTGGGATCAGGGAAGAATGGTATTCCAATCCTCAGGGCAGGACGTATGAGCAGTTGTCTCTAAGTCTTTTCCTCTCACCATTTCTCCCCAGTGGATCTCCAGACCTGCCACAAACGACATGGCCAGGCAGGGCGGTACGAGGCTGCCTCCAGTCCCCAGAAGCGTCTCCAGCAGAGGCGAACCCTGCCTGCCAAGTGTGTCCCTCACTTGCTGCAACTTTAATGAACACCTAAGGTAATTAACTTACAAACTGGAAAGGGTTGCGTTGGCCTGCAGGTTTAGAGGTTTCAGCCCATAGTCAGTTGGACTCCACTTTTGGGGCTGCAGTGAGGCAGCACATCTTGGCAGGAGCACATGACAAAACTTACCTTGTAGCCAGGACGTAAAGGAAAAGAGAAGGGAGCCAGGCATGGTGGCCTTGGCTTCAGTCCCAGCGCTTGAGAGGTAAAGGCAGGTGGATTTCTCTGAGTTTGAGGGCAGACTTCTCTACATAGAGAGTTCCAGGACAGTCAGGGCTAAACGGACAGATCCTATCTCAAAAAAAAAAAGAAAAGAAAAGAAGACAGGAGAAGAGGCCGCAGTCTGACATCTCTGTCAAGGACACATCTCAGAGTTCTCGCTGGCACTTCCTAAAGGCTTCAGGGCCTGTAAGGGGCAACTCTGGGACCTTTAACCTGGGCCATGGAAGACACTCCAGATCCAAACATACACTCTGACAGACAATGTGGAGTTCTTCCTGTTTGAGGTGACAAATACATAGCTTTCGTCCTGAGGGTGGCGACTGCTCTTGGTGCATTATTTTTTCATAATAGATGAAAGTTCTAGAAGCATATTCTGAAAGAGATTTCAAAAAGAGACTCAGAAGGCTTGTGAAATCAGTTCTGCTCATATGCTTGGAGACCTCTGTCACAAACAGCAGAGATCCAAAGCCTGCTGCACTGGGAAGCTCTGTATGGGTCCCAGGGTGTGTGTCATGAAAATGGTTCCCCAGATGCATGTCATTGAAATGGCTCTGTCCACTTATCTTCACAAGAAAGATCTAAATCCTAACTGCAACTACCCCTCCTTTCTCCTCTTCCCAAAGTTGTCTGTCCAAATCCAAGACCTAAAACAAAGGTTTTACTTAAATCCCATTATAACTATTCTTCAATTAGCTAGATCTTTGCAGGGAAAGCGTCAGATCCAAAAGAAACTCAGGACAAATGACTGTGGTGCCTATTGGCATACCAAAACTCATGATGGGTTCCAGGCTTCCTTGGTAGCACAAATACCTGTGGCCCTTCTCAACCCATCCCTACCCTAAACTTCATCAGCCCATGGCTTTCCCTTCCCCAGTTTCTCATTCCCTTTTCATCCCACCATTTCAGCTATTCACTTTCTTGGTTCCCTCTCTCATTTGTCTTCTCTTCTTGGCCTCCTTTCTCTTGGCCCTCACTCATAGTCTAATTTGCCTGCACTCTCCTCCTCCTCCTCCTCCTCCTCCTCCTCCTCCTCCTCCTCTTCCTCTCTCTCTTCCTCTCCCTCCTCCTCCCTCTCTTCCTCCCCTTCCTCTTTCCTCTCATGGTCTAGCCCAGTCTCCTGGCCATGTTCCTTAGACTTTCTCCCTCTACTCCAAACTGTTCTAGATGCCTCTGGCTGTGCTCTCCCTCATATCTATAATAAAAACCTTCCCCTCAACCATACATGAGAGGGGTTATGTCCTCAGTTTACACATCTGGTGCCAAAATCTTCAGTTTATACAGAAAGTAATTCAAATATAGAACGTTCCATTTAGGGCTGGAGAGATGGCTCAGTGTGCTTAAGAGCACTTGCTGCTCTTGCAGAGGACCAGAATTCCGTTCCCAGCACCCATGTTGGTGGCTCACAACTATAAGTATCATCTGTAACTCCAGTTTCAGGTGAGGGACAATGCTTCAGAGTTATTATCATTATTATTACTGTATATATTATTGTGTTTATTTTTAACTAACCTGTTTTAGGTTAGCATAGAATTGGGTTTTGTCGTGGCATCATGGCCTGAATGTGGCACTATACTTTGTTCCTGTTTGCTGCACCTGCCCGATTTTAGATGGTTCCCTTTCTCCAACTAGTGAGCCCTCTTCTGCTCTCCTGGTGTCTATCCCCACTTCCCTTTATGAATTCTCCCTTTTCTTTCATGAGACTTTCTAGTTCCGTGATCTGCAAACACATATATAAATATGCACATATATTCACATATATGTAAATTTAAACCTAGGGTCTTCATGTGAGGGAAAAAATGTAGCATTTAGCTTTCTGAGTTTATTTCACTCAGAAATAAGTCTGGGTTGCACTTGTGTTCCTGAAAATGTCATGATTTCATTTTTCTTTATATCATTATGTATATAGATCACATATTACATATTCATTGACCTGTAATGGACATTAAGACTGATTTCATTTCCTTGCTGTTGTGAATAGAAAATCTATAGTCAAGGTCCTGTATCTCTGTGGTATGTTAGCTCAAAATATGCCATATGACCCAACACCAGCATATCCAGCTCAGACGGTAACTACATTTTCCGATTTTTGAAGAAGCTCCGTAATGATGTCCACAGCCTCTGCACACCTCTACAGTCCCGCAACAACTCAGGAGTGCTCCCGTCAGCACTTGCTGTCATTGGTTCGCTTGACTATAGCCACCGGGGCCAGCTGAGGGGAGGTGGGAACTCAGCAGTTGCAGTTTTCATTTCCCTCCCAGCTAAGGGTGCTGAACCCTTCTTCAAGTGTTTTCTTAACATTTGTATTCTTTTGAGAACTGTCTGTTCAGTGTATTAACTGTTTGTTGATTGGATGATTTTTTTTGTGTGTTTAATTTGCGTCATTGTTTATACACCTTTATATCAATTCCCTGTCTGTTGTGTGATTGGTAGAGCTTGTCATCCATTTTCCAGGAATTTTGCTCCTCTGTTGTTTGCTTTGTTCATTAGAAGCTTCTTAATTTACATAACCACCATTAATGGGTTCTTAGGAGTTGTTCCCTGCACTGTTAAAGCCCCTCAGGAAATCCTTGTCTCTGATTACATTTTAAAGAATTTGTCTATATCTTCCCCAACAGTTTTAAAGTTTGGGTTTTTGATTAAGGTCTTTGACCCATTGAACTGATTTTTCTGTGAGATCTGGCTCCACTTTCATTGTTCTGCATATGTAAACCCATTTAAAAAGGAGGTTGTCTTTCTCCAGTGTATGTTTTTGATAGTTTTTTCAAAAATGAGGTAGCTGTGAGTGTGTGGCTAGACTTGTTTTTGTGCAGGCGCCTGCTCTGTAATATAACCTGCTGTTGTGACACCCCACAATGCTCTCTGCTGAGGACCAACCGAGCTATTCAGGCCTTCTGTGCTTCCGAATGAATGTGAGATGTTTTCCCCAATTCTGTGAAGAATGCCAGTGGAATTTTGATGGGTTGCCTTGACTATATGTATATGTGTGTGTGTGTGTGTGTGTGTATATATATATGAGAGAGAGAGATTGCATTTGGTAACATAACCATTTTCTGTTATTGATTTTGCTTACCTATGAATATGGGAGATCTTTCCATTTTCTTGTGTGTCTCTCATTTTTTCTTCAATGTCTAAAGGCTCTTTCTTGGTTAGGTTTGTTCTCTAAATTTTTACTTTCTCTAAAGCTATTATGTGTGCAATTTTCTCTCTGATTTCTTTCCCAGCAAATGCATTATTGGTCTATAGAAAAGCTATTGGCTTTTGTATGTTGATTTTGTATCCTACTACTTTGCTGACAGTGTTTCTCAAGCCAAAGAGGTTTTTTTATTTTATTATTTTGGGGGGATTTTTTTTGGTGGAGTCTATAGAGTCTTAGATATAGGATCATGCCATCTGCAAATAGAAATAATTTACCTTCTTCCCTTCCTACATGTACTTCTTTTACTTCCCTGTCTTATTTCTCTAGCTAAGACATTGGGCACTATGTTCAACAAGAGTTTTTTTCATGCCAGATTTTAGAGAAAATTCAGTTTTTCCCTCGTTAGTGTAATATTGGTGTCTTAGTTACTTTTCTGTTGTGTGATAAAACACCATGACTAAGAGAAAGAATTTAATTTGGGACTCACAGTTTCAGAGGACTAGTATCTATAAGCATCATGGCTGAGTGCATGGCAGCAGGCAGGCAGGCAGGCATGGTGCTAGAGTAGTAGTCAAGAGCTCACATATAGAGAGATAACCACAAAGCAGAGAGAAAGAGATGCTGGGAATGGCTATAGGTTTCGTCTTTTTCTTAAACCGCAAGCCTGTCCTTCCTGACACATCCTCCAACAAGGCCACACCTCTCCCTAATCCTTCCCAAACAGTTCCACCAACTGGTGGCTAAGTATTCAAATATATAAGTCTATAGGAGCCATTCTCATTCAAATCACCACAGTTAGCTATGGGTTTAGCATATATTGCCTTTATTATATTAGAGTATGTTCTTTTTATTTCTAGTTTCTATGAGGTTTTGTTTTTTGTTTCATTTTGTTTTTATTTACTTATTTATTTTTATCATGAAAGCTGAACTTTGTTGAAGGCTCTTTCTGAATCATTGAAATAATGATGTGGTTTCTGCTTTTAAGTTACTTTTCTGCTAAATACACTCAGTTTGCATATATTGAACCAACCTTGTATCTAGAATGAAACCAACTTGGTCAAAGTATATGGTTTTTGTTTTGTTTTGTTTTGGCAGGGGAAGGTTACTGTTTTCGAGACAGGGTTTCTCTGTGTCATCCTGGCTGTCCTATAACTTGCTCTATAAACCAGGCTAGCTTTGAACTCAGAGATCTGACTGCCTCTGCCTCTTGAATGCTGGGATTAAAAGCATACACTACCACCATCTGGCTTATGATCTTAACATGTCCTGTTTATTTGAAAATATTTTATTGAGAATGTTTACACCTATGTTCATCAGGGAAATTGGTTTATCTTTGTTGTGTCCTTGTCCGGTCTAGTGAAACCTAGCAGTGAATCTATCTGGTTCTAGACTTTTTTTTTTTGTTGGGAAGCCCTTGTAAGAGGTTATGGCTCCCAGCTTGTTTGGCTTTTGTTTCAGGAAAGGATGGTTCCTTAAATATCCCCTACATCAGTTTGTGACGCAGGTGGAGCACCTTCACCGGCTGAGCCAGTGCTGGGCTGTGGCTTTGAACACCCATAACTGTGAGCTAAATGGAATTGTAAAGTGAGCCTCTCCAAGGTATTTCATCCCAGTAATGGAAACTAACAAATACAATGCCTGGTTGGACTTCTGTGTCCTTTATGGAGATCTTGGTGGTAGTGTTACAGAGCCTGGTGCCTGCCAGGCAAGTGCTCTACCATTAAGCTCTGTTCATTCTCATCCTGCATCCTGTGTTTATAAAGAGGTTGGCAGTGCATTTCCTTCGCTCAAGCTACTTGGAGCTATTTTTTATATATGAATACAATGAAGCCCATGCGGGAAAGAATGAAAGATAAAGATATGGCCTGCCTGTTCATCTGTCCTCTAGCCCTCTGAGCTTTGCTGCTTTGCTGCTCTCCTCCAGGTGATATAAGCTGAAGGGTGAAAAGCATCTGTTAAACATAATGTCTCAGATGTGAGGAGGTGCAAGAGAGGTGACCAAAGTTGTCTTGCCAACTTTCCCAGTGCAGATGAGAAGAGGGACTCAGTGACAAATTACTCCAAAGCAGTGATTTGAGCCTAAGCTGCACATTGCACTTACCACAGGAATCTTAAAAACACTGATGTGTAGCCAGATGCAGAGGCGCACATCTGTAATACCAGCACTTGGAGAGGCAGAGGCAGAAGGATCTCTGTGAGTCTGAGGCCAGCCTGGCCTACAAAGTGAGTCCAGAACATCCAAGGCTACACATACGCACACATGTGCACACACACACAAATACTGATGTCTATGCCCCGCTCACAGGGACTCTTTTTCAGTCAGAACTGCATGAGTCCCAAGTGTGAAGTCTTCACTTGATCTTAGCCCAAAGGCTGAGAAGTGATGAGCATGAAGTCAGTCATTAAAGCTCCCAGATGTCTGTAATCCGTGGTCAGAACTAAGACCCCTGTTCTAATTTGACGTAGAGTTTCAAGAAACACATACGCTGATCCTAAGCATAGCCACCAACAAGAAGTGAGTGTTGGCCTGAGAGAAGCTTAAGTCTACATAGGAGAGTCCTAGTCCAGTCTGGTTTAGTATACTGAGATAATAACTGTAAATACTAAGGAAGTTGAACTGGGTTAGAAAGATGCATTTGTTAGCACAAAGAGTGAAACCAAAAAGAAGCATGGATTCAACAAAGTGAGTTCAACAAAGAGAGCTCAACTCGGGGTTGAAAGTTTCATTTTAATGGAAACAAAAGCAAACCCAGACTGTTCCGAGCAGTCCTTAAAACAAGTGTCACCCTTTGTTTCTGAATTACAAAGACACCAAAGTAGATATTCACTGTCCTTTATGACAACTAGGGAAATAGTCTCACAGTGGATTTCCAGAGAACAAAATTAAACCAGTGCAATGCTGGTTTTATTCTAAATATATTACCAAATATCTGTGTATGGCCTTTCCTTCCAGAGGTATTAAATGAGTAGAGCATGGCCTCCTTAGTTAGACGAGAGCAACTCAAGCTGGCAGATAATATCCACTCTGAGTCATCCTCTACACTTTGACAGACAGAGAGCTTTCTCCGTGTCTGTGTGTGAGCGGGTGTGTGTGAGTGCGTATCTGATAGTGTGATGGTGTGCGGAGGATGTCACTCTCCATCTTATTTTTTGAGGCAGGTTCTCTCCCTAAACCTAGAGCTCTCTGATTTGGCAGGACTAGCTGGCCAGCAAACACCAAAGAGCCTCCTGTCTCCACCTCCCCAGAGCTGGATTACAAACGTATTGTGCCATTTCAGCTTTTTAGGTGGGTATTGGGCGTTGGAACTCTCTGGGTGTTTTACCAGCACAGCCATCTGCCTAGAAGTCCACCAACACACACACACACACACACACACACACACACTTTACATGCATGCATATACACATGCTTTTTTGTAACTGCTTAATTAGCTGATATTTTATAGAACCTAGCCAGTGTTAACTCAAGGGAAGACATTAGTTTGTAAAGTCTGATATGGTGGCTGGCTGCCGCCGCCGGTAACTGCTGCCTGACAGGAACACACAGATATATTCAGGAGAATATGGATTGTTCCGCATCCAATTCCCCAGCGAAACTTGTCTTTCATGAGGGCAGTATCAATACAGCAGGTTTTAATTCTCCTCTACCAGGAGCACGTGGACTGCTCCCATAATGCATGCTTTTACATGCTTTTACATGCATTATGCGGAAAACATCTTCCAAGGTTCAGTTCAAAGTAAGTTTACCCCTGAAGAGTCCCCACCAGCAGTTTGAGAATCACCCGCTTCCTCCTCAGCCCGCTGGCCCCATTGCCACTGCACCTTTCGCCTGCCTCACTTTAAAAACTGTACTTTAAGACTTTTAATGGAAGACATGGTACTTTAGCCATAACCATCACTTGTGATCATTAGTGTAATTTTTCTTTTTAAAATTTATTTATTTTTATTTTACTTATATGCACTGCTGTTTTGCCTGCAGGCATGTTTATGTGAGAGGGTCAGATGTTGGAGTTACAGACAGTTGTGAGCTGCCAGGTGGGTAGTGGTATTTGAACCTGGGTCCTTTGGAAGAGCAATCAGTACTCTTAACTGCAGCCATCTGTCCAGCACCGTAGTGTAATTTTTCTATACATTTATTTTGTTAATCAAATAAATTATTAATTATTTATTATTAAATTATTTATTACAATTTAATTCAGTTATTATTCAAGTATTCAATTATTTATTAAAATATTAATTGAATGAGTTTAACTGAATATAATGAATGAATTTGCTTTTCCATAAATTAATTTCTAATTAAGTCACTTCTCTTTAAAACACTATACATATATCCCCTGATAGATGAAAGGGGAAGAGTGAGGAGGTGGATCAACATGGCTGCCTTTACTTACCATTGATGCTCTGTGCCCAGTGGTTGATGGCAGAGGTGAGGGGCTGTTTTCCCCATGCGGAAAATCCAAGCAGGAGCTATTCAGAGACCGTGAGCTACCTGAGTCACTGTGCTGTTGTCCCTTTTCTGACAATAGCCTCGAGAGAAAGCTGGCCTTGCGACTACCTGGACCTAGTCTGTCTGTCCAAACTCCACTCTCTCTTGCACTGCCATCACTGCCTTGGAAGCGACTTTGACGGTCTGTGAGAGGTTTTCCAGAAGCTTCTGGGCCCTGGGATCGCTCCCAGGTTTCTAATGCAGAAGATGGGCAGTGCTGAGAAGCTGTTGTTATACCTAACCAGGACTGAGACATCACATTCTTGGGGCCAGAAAGGGAATGGCATGGTTGCTGTCCTGGGTGCTGAATTTTGGCACTGCCATCATGGGGACACGGGCTGTGAACATGGAGCTGTCCACTGTTTTCAACTTTCTCAGCCCAGTTTCTTCTGCTACAGGAACCATCTGCCTCAAGTTGCCTGGAGTGTGGGATTTGCCACATGCTTTTAGACCTCGGTATATTGACTCGGATGACCTGTTGTTTATTGTTGGCTTGAAGTAGCGAGATTCTTTCAGGTAAAGAAGAACAAACCACACACTGTTGGGCCCCTGAGTAGTTTGCTGGGTGTAATGGAGGGCCTGTTTCATTTTCAGTGTTCCCACTGCTGGATTTGCCATCAAGTGCCCTCATGATTTTCCTGATGCCGAGATGAAATATTTCCAGGATGTTGAGTAACAGGGAGATGGCGGCAATGCTGAGCATAAAGAGCATGAAAATGGTCTTCTCTGTGGGCCTGGATACAAAGCAGTCCACTGCATTGGGGCAAGGGGGTTGGGTGCATTTGTAAAGGGGGTGCATTTGAAACCCATAGAGGATATATTGGCCTATCATGAACCCTACCTCTAGCATAGATCTGGTCAAGATGTGTAAGACATAAGTACGCAGCAGACATCCTTTCAGAGGGACTTTATGAATCTTCTTCTGCTCCTCGAGTCTCCTCAGCTCCCTCTCTACCCTTTGTTGCTCCTCCAAGTCAAGTTCTGAGTTCTCCATGTGGGCTCTGAGGTGTGACTTCTTCTTCTGCCTCTGCTTCTCAAACTCTCTGAGTCTGTAAAGTGCATGGCCCATGTACACCAAAGAAGGGGAAGACACAAAGATGATCTGCAAAACCCAGAATCTGATCAGAGAGATAGGGAAAGCCTCATCATAACAGATATTGTTACAACCCGGCTGCTGCGTGTTGCAGGCAAAAGAGGACTGTTCATCATCCCAAACATCCTCTGCAGCAACACCAAGTACCAGCATTCGGAAGATGAAGAGGATGGTCAGCCAGATTTTCCCCACTATAGTTGAGTGGGAGTGAACTTCCTCTAGGATGCCACCCAATAGATTCCAATCTCCCATGATTAGAAATTCACGTCTGAAATATACAGAAAACAAGGAGGTTAATAAAACTGAGGGAGGTGATGGTTTTCCTACTGCCTAGGGGCTGCCTCCCAGCAGCCCACAAAGTCAGGAGGGGCAGGAGATGAGAAGTGAGTCTGGAATGGCCAGTGGGTACAGGGATCACACACCCCGGGAACCAGCTGATAACTAATTCAACTTTAATTCCAGAGAACAAAGGCTATCTACTCCTTGGGGAGTGGAGAAGGAGCTCCAAGAATAGGTGTACATAATTGGCTGGAACTAGGCACTTCAAGGATGCTTGATTTGCGTTATACAGTACGTTCCTATCATATGAATGAAACACAGTACCTAATTGACATATAGGTGAAGGGAGCGGAGAGTTATCAGGGACTGTGTCAGAGGCCATATATCAAATGTGATTAGGGGAGACAGTGTCTAAAGACACTCTCCAGATGAAGTCAGGCAGAGAGCAGGAGGCCCTGCTGAGGGGAGGGAGGCCTGCCTTTAACAGGAGTTCAGAATGGCTATCCAGTCCAAGCAAGAACTGCAACCTCAACCAGAAGGGTACCTCCAACAGGTTGCAACTCACAAGGGTGTTTGGTCCTATGTTGGTATAGTGTTCTTTTGGAATGTACAATTTACCCTTGCTCATTCACATGCTGATTTCTCTACCCCACTCTCTGGTTTCAATCCAGACATGGCATTGTGATGCTTATTCTAAGCATCACGCGTCTCAAATTTGTGTAAACATGCCACCATTTGTTCTCTGTGTTGTCAAGAAAACATCCAACCAGTGCTGAGCAATGGTGAGAATAGGGTGGGACATCCTGGTCTGGAGGGGAGGAGACGGAAGTGAGAGGGAAAAGAGGAGAGTGGATATCTGTAGGATAGGACTTGGAACCGGGAGGAAAGATGAACTGGACCTAAGCTATGACTAAAAGCAAGTACAATGGGTAAAATCTGAATGGTAAGAAGCTATGTAAGCTTGGAGGTTAAGATGGAGTAACTATTGCCCAGCATTGTGTTCTAGGATAATTAAATAAATCCTAGTCTCCATATGGTGATTTGTGTATACAGCTGGCTTACAAATAACCACTGATTAACTAAAAGATAAACCAATAATAAATATTAATAACCCACAACATTAGTAAATATCACATATTCTTTGTTTAAGTCAATATAACTCTTGACATTTACTTCATACTTAAAGAAACTGAAAATTTCCAAGGAATATCAGTTTCCGAGCAAAACACTTGAGGTTCCAGCTCTGCTTGAGTTCCTGTCCTGACTTTTTCCAATGATGGCTTATTATCTGCAAGTGTAAGCTGAACAAACCTCCCCAACTTGCTTTTTGGTAATGGTGTTTTTGTCACAGCAATAGAAACCCTAAGACAGTTACTAAGTATTTTAACCTTATTGAACTTTGAAAAGCATTATTTTTCCAGAATAAACAAAGAAACTTGTGTATGACTCAATTTACTTCTTTTTTAAAAATATATTTATGTATGTATGTATATGAGAGCTTTATCTGCATGTACACATGCATGACAGAACAGAGCACCAGATCTCATTATAGGTGGTTGTGAGCCACCATGTGGTTGCTGGGAATTGAACTCAGGACCTCGGGAAGAGTAGCCAGTGCTCTTAACCTCTGAGCCACCTCTTCAGCCCCCTCAATTTACTTCTTATCCTTTTCTCTCCCATGTAGTTCCCTTTCACTCTGGGATACCCATTAGTTTCTATATCTGTGCAATGCATGCCACAGTCTTGCTTATTTTTCCACTCATTTGAGAAGCCCCTTTATCTCACGTCTTATATAAGACTCAAATCATCTAGAGCCTTTCTCTAAGCAGGCCAGCTCCCACTTACTTTTTTCTTTCCTGAGTTTCCACATTCATTTGGTATTTGGCCTAGAAGAATTTTGTGATGTTTGTGTTTTCTGTCTCACTTCCTGGAATGGTGCACCCTGCAAGTAGAGACCCTCTATAGTATCTGGATCTCTCAACACAGATGTTATCAGTTTGTTCCCTTGAGTCTTTCACTGTATTAACTATCAACAGGGAAAGCAAAGTAGGCTCTCATCATATACCACTCATGGCTGTCATTGTAAGATAAAGCACATATAAAAAGAAGTCAGCCAAGTAAATCCTTGGAAATTGTTTTGGTCAGGATAATGTTAATGTTTAGGTAGATACAGAAACAGGGCCCCTGAGACACTTCTAGAAAGTCATGTCTTCCTGGAATTCTTTTTTGGTTCTCAAGACAGGATTTCTCCAGATGTCCTGGAATTTGCTTCATATACCAGGCTGGTCTCCAAATCACAGAGATCTTCTTGCCTCTACTTCCCAAGTGCTGGGATTAATGGCATGAGCCACCATGCCCACCTGATGTCTTTATGGAATTCTTGCAAACTTGAACAAGTTAATATAAACTAGTTCTCTAGGAAGCTTGGGGTCTAGGAAAGTGAAAGGCCCAAGCAGCTGCATGGCAGCAGCTGAGCTGCCATGAAGGCTTCATAAGATACTGTAGGCCTGAGTTTCTGTTTCCTGGTAATGTCCCCACAGTTCCTTAGATCACGTTTCTATTTCTTAGAACATGAAAGTATAGTCCATGGAAACGAGATACAATAACTCAATAACCTCCTTGAAAATCAGAAACAATAATCTAGTAATGGCCTTGAAAAGTCTCCAAGCACTTGACCAATCAAATTAAAGGTTAGTTAGAAACCTTTGCTTAGTTAGTCAAAATGATATTGTCACCTGGACACTTTTTGTTAGCACTTTTTGTTACCTGGGCACACCTTGTTACTTGAACACTCTATGAAGTCTCCCCTACCCCCTAGATCAGCACCAAGCAATCAGTTTATGACAAGCTTGCTTCTGCTAAATGAAGACCAATCATGTAATTGCCAAAGTTGGAAAGTCCTGTTCCTTGCTCAAACCATAATAAAATCTCAGCTTTGCAGCTACACGGGGTTGCCTTCCTAATCCACTGCGTTGGATGGTGGGGAGTCTGAGCTTAAGCCCATAATAAAGGCTCTTTGTTCTTGCATACATGGTCGGCCTCTTTGGAGTCTCTGCAATCTGGGCATAATAGAAAGAATCAAGGCATAAGGGTCATACACAAGTTACTCTGTTGATTCTGGAAAAATAATGCTTTTCAAGGTTCAATAAGGTTAAAATACTTAGTAACTGTCTTAGGTTTCTATTGTTGTGACAAAAACACCATTACCAAAAAGCAAGTTGGGGAGGTTTGTTCAGCTTACACTTGCAGATAATAAGCCATCATTGGAAAAAGTCAGGACAGGAACTCAAGCAGGGCTGGAACCTCAAGGCAGGAGCTGATGCAGAGACCATGGAGTGCTGCTGCTGCTTACTGGCTTGCTTTTCATGGCTTGCTCAGCCTGCTTTTTAATAGAACCCAGGACCACCAGCCTGGGGATGGCACTGCACACAATGGGCTGGGCCCTTACTCATCAATCACTAAGAAAATGCCTTATAGCCAGATACTATGGAAGCATTTTCTCAACTGAGATTTCCTCCCCTCAGATAATTCTAGTTTGTGTGTCAATTTGACACAGGACTAGCTAGATTTCTAATGTGTGGAAAGCATCCAGATATGAAAAACATAGGGGGAAAAGAAATATAATTAAGTTAAAATAGACAATAACATAATTTTAAGTTTAAAATTCATCTATGCAATAATATTTTCAGAAGCCACAAAGTCAACAATCATGATGTATGTCCTTCACAGCAACTGATCACTAAGGACTCTTACAACATACAAGGTGGACCAAGACCGAAAAGACAAGCTGAATATGAACCAGAAAAGTTACAGGAGAAAATATGGTTTTTACAATTTTTTATAATTATTTCCAAACACAAAATACATCTCAGATGAAATAAAATATTAAATGTAAGCCAGACATAGTGGAGAATGCCTTTAATTCTAGCACTCAAGAGGCAGAGGCAAGTAGATCTCTTGAGTTTGAGGCCAGCTTGGTCTACAGAGAGTTCCAAAACAGCCAGGCCACATAGAGAAACCCTGTCTCAAAAAACAAAAAGAAAAATGAAATGTAAAAGAGTAGGTAATAAAGGTCTTACAGTAATAACTGGGCATATTGCTATTCCTCTAGTCCCAGCCACTAGAGAGGCAGAGGCAGATGCCTCTGAAATCAAGAGTGTGAGGCTCGCCTGGCAAAAATAACGAGACTCTTCCTCAACAAAACAAAACAAAACAAACAACCAAAAAAAAAAAAAAAAAAAAAGGAAGCCTGAGAGGCGCGAAGACTAAGTAAGTTTGAGGCCACCTTGGGCTTGAGACTCTCTCTCTTAAAGAGTATTAAAATGCAAATTAATGTTTTAGCCGGGGACTTGGCTCAGTTGGTAGAGCACTTGCCTAGCACATATGAAGTTCTGTGCTCAAACCCCAGCACCACTACATAAAACACCTGTGAGTACACCTGTAATCCCATGACATGGGAAGTAAAGGCAAGAAGATCAGATGTTCAATGTCATCCTTAGCTACACAGAGAGTTCAGGACAAACCTGGCCTATACAAGACCCTGTCTCAAACAGCAGCAGCAGCAGCAGCAGCAGCAGCAGCAGCAGCAGCAGCAGCAATAATATATGTAAGTAGGTATATATACAAATATTGATGTGTGTGTGTGTGCATGGAAAGGAAATCCGGGATAGATACGGGTTACAGGCTACCTCAAGTGTGAGATGAAAGGACAGAGGGAGTTTTAGAAGGAAGAATGAAGAGGCAGAAACAGGTAAAAAAAAAAAAAAAAAAAAAAAAAAGAAAAAAAAAGAAAAGAAAAGAAAGGGACAACAGATTTCTAAGAAAATAAGGCTGGGGCTGGAAAGGTGGCTTCATGCTTATGATTCCCAGCATCATCCACATGGTAGTAGGTTTCAACACTTCATAACTCCAGTTCTAAGAGATCCAACTCCCTCTTCTGACCACTGCAGGCACCAAGCATGGAAATGGTGCAT